ACTCTGCTAGCCTGCCCTCGCTTCCTCAATGTTCTCTGCTAGCCTGCCCTCGCTTCCTCAATGAACTCTGCTAGCCTGCCCTCGCTTCCTCAATGTTCTCTGCTAGCCTGCCCTCGCTTCCTCAATGAACTCTGCTAGCCTGCTTTCGATTCCTCAATTTTCTCTGCTAGCCTGCCCTCGCTTCCTCAATGAACTCTGCTAGCCTGCCCTCGCTTCCTCAATGAACTCTGCTAGCCTGCCCTCGCTTGCTCAATGATCTCTGCTAGTTCCGCCACCACCACGTCGTTTTGGCCCCCAAAAATTTCCAAATTTTTGAATGCCCTGCGTGAAAATCGTGGCTGGGTAGTAGAACAATGGCTGGTTCGGATGGGCCCGTTTTCTTTTTGGCAAACAGGGTCTCTGAATCACAGGCAGACAGCCATTGTGAACGAAGGGTACACCCCCCGGAAACTGGGCAAGCAAAAGCCCCGCCGAAGAGAGGATATAAAACGAACACACAGTGACTCATCTGCCAGGCCGTGATGGCACAGCCTACGCACCGGGACGTCACTTCTTCGAGTGGTTTCAGTTAGCGGATACTGGCGAATTTGCTAGCTTTCTTTCACTCTCGTTGCTCTATGTGTCTATCTCTCTCCCTCTCCCACTCTCTCTCTATCTCTCTCTCTCTCTCTCTCTCTTTCTCTCTCGCTCATTAATGTACTTTTCAAGTCAAGTCAGCGGATCGCCAAATTGTGACTTGCGCTTTTAAATGTCTCGAAACTCACTGCCAAGTATTACTGTAGTTCGACGAATTGCGATCAAAGACCCTCTGCTAGCCTGCCTTTTCTCTGATTCTCTTCATTCCCGAAAAAAATACTGGATTCGCAGCAGAAGATCCTGAAGACTCTCCGCTAGTTGCCCTCGCCGTCTAAATTTCTTAATTTATGAATTTAATTTAGAATATCTGCTCAACCTGACATAAAATTTCTCAAGAATCTCTGCTTGCTACCCTTTTCCGGATTCCGCAAAAAAAAACTCTCTTAAGAATACGCCGACAGGATTTTCCTCAAAAATCGCTGCTAGCCTCCCCCAAATCCTTATTTTTGAAGCTATGTAGAAACCAAGATACAAGCTAGCAGAGATTCTTAGTCTTTTGTCGTAAAAACGTCTGACAAGCTAGCAGAGGCCATTTGAGAATTCTGGATTTTGATTTCGGGGGCCCGGTGATTCCAAAGTACGCGCTAGTCTCGATTTCCCAAGGCAACACGTGCTCCTTATCAATGCGCTTAATGTCGGCCTCTTTCGCTCTCTCTCTCTCTCTCTCTCTCTCTCTCTCTCTCTCTCTCTCTCTCTCTCTCTCTCTGTCTCTCTCTCTCTCTCTCTCTCTCTCTCTCTCTCTTTCGCTCTCTCTCCCTATCCTTCTCTCCCCTCGCTCTTTCTCTTTCCCACTCCGATTCCCAAATAACAAGGAGTAACCGAGCAGTAGACTCAAAATCCTCCCCTCCCAGATGACCCATGTTTTCCCGTACATCCCGTAGCAATATTTACGCACCTTGGAAAAAGCAATACGCTAGAATCAACAAGCCGGCTTTCCCTTGACTTTACTACCCTTTATTCTCGGCTTATCACGTGGCTATTTTTGGGTGCTGCCTGTTTGGAATTTCGGCAATCCTTTATGGCGTCCCCAAAATAGCCCGCCACTAGGTTATTTTCGGAGGTATTTTGCGAGATAAGAAGGGCTTGAATAATCCGAAATATCTTAAAAAAATAGGCTTAACTTATGATTTTTTTGATGTGACGAGAGCTGGCGATAAAAAAAATAAAAATCAACCGACTTAACCTAAACACTTAGCACGCCTCTTTTTAGGCCCTCCCCTTTTTGAGGTGACGCTGGGCTGATCAAAACACTTAAATTTATGGGCTTTAGGTTAAAAGTTTTATCTTAAAACCACACGCCTATTTTTTGATATTTTTGTTTTGAACTTCAGTTTTTAAGGCCAGGTGGGAGGACTAGCAAAGGTTTTTTCGGGAGTGGGAACGGCTTTCTTCTAACGTTCTTAATTGTTATTTTTTTGCTTGGAATAAATGGACTCTGCTAGCCTGCCCCTGCCTCCTCAATGATCTCTGCTAGCCTGTAGTGACTTCCTCAATGATCTCTGCTAGCCAGCCCTCACTTCCTCAATAATCTCTGCTAGCCTACCCTCACTTCCTCGATGATCTCTGCTAGCCTGCCCGATGTCACAGTAACCAGTTACGACATATATTTTTTGGCAAGTCTCCTAGAGCCTCTAGGTGATCTCCGATCAAAAAGCCCTTCCAGCTGATCGAGATTTTGGGGTCATCTGCCCTCAAAACGGAAGCCTAACCCGGGGTAGAAGCTGAAAACGAGGTCCGGCCCCCATTTACAACCCTCTATCGGCTTATCTCGGCCAATGATTTTGGCTACCGTTCTCCCCACCCACAATTTCTCCCTCAATTGCCGTGTTTGGCAAATGTGTGGGCAATTTGTTAGTGAAAAATATATCTTCATCACGCTTTTCTTTATCCCTCTCTCTCTGCCTCTCTATCTTTCGCTCTCTCTCAGCTAAATCTAACGAAAAAAACCGAATTCCCTCAAAAGTTTCAACTTTCCAGAGCCCATTCCCATTTTTTCATTTTTTTTGTTTTTCCGATTTCAGACATTTTGTCATTTTTGCTATTTTTCTATTTTTCCGTTCCATTCCGATAATTTCTTCCTGCTTTTCTCTCTCTCTATTGCGATTGTCTTTCTCTATCTTGTAGTTTATAGTATACGCAAAAACCCTCAAGTTAACGCGTGGCCCAGCAGGCAGCCCTTCAACCCGGCCATGCTAGCGATGAATCTGCTAATCGAGTCGAGCTGGAGCTTTTGGGAGAAGGTAATTTGGCTATACCGTATGGCGTACTATAACGTACTGTCACGTACACCGTATGGCGTACTATAGCGTACTATAACGGACTGTTTCGTACCGCAGCGTACACTTGACATACGGTAGCTAAGATTAAAATATGCATTTTTATTTTTAGCCTAATTTTCGTATTTCCACTGAGTGACAACTTTTAAAATCATGGTTTTTGAACGTATTATTGTTATGCAAATTAGGTATTTTACGTTTATACCATTCCTATATGCAAATTATAAATAACATCGAACATCGGCCTTGTGAAATTCAATTTTTCGAAAATGCATATTATGCTAATTAGGTGGTTTCACATGCAATGCTCGCATGCAAATCAGCCTTTGAAAACAGACTTGTCAAAATTGTCATCTTGCTGCCCTATGCAAATTAGGAATCTTGTTACTCACCTTATCTTGAGTCGGCATTATTCAAATTAGGCTTTTTTTACAACTCATGCAAATTAGCAATTAATAATTTGGTGTTTTCAGCCACTTTTGGCACTTTCCCAGTTATTTTCCGACAGTTTTGAAGCCCAAATTCGCTCTCCATCACCACCTCACCCTGCAGCTGACCAAATTAGAATTTTTCGTCCAGGGTAAATATTTTCCCGCCATCCACCCCCCCTTCGCAGAACACTTATCAGCACGATGCTGTCGAGTTTTTTTGGGATTCCGGTACCGGGAGCGTTTGCAGGCGGTAAAATCGATAATTCCGGAGGGCGGCTAATGACAGGCCAGAGATTGGGGGGGGGGGGGTCGTGGCCTTAGGATATTTATATCTGAAAGTAATAAAGGACTGAAAAGCCCTTGTCTTTTCGGGTTATTGGCTTCTGATAACCGGCGTTTTCATAGCGGGGCTAGGCTCTACGCAAAAGTTGGTTCAGTGCCAGGAAAAAGGGCAGTCTAGCAGAGATCATTGAGGAAGCGAGGGCAGACTAGCAGAGATCACTGAGGAAGGGAGCGTCGCAGCAATTTTGAGGGAACCCGGCCCATTTTCCGGAGCTGGTTCACTAGCGGGGGCCTGGCAAATAGAAACTGGCTTTCCAATGTTCCTTTAGACGCCAAGCAACGAATTATGAACTGTTTCGCTGAAATTATGCTTTTTAGATGCAAAAAGCTCGTGGAAAATTATGGAAATGTAAAATTTTGTAGAAAATATGCGAAAAATGACGAAAAGTATCAAATTAATTTCATTTTCAAGCAAGTTTTGTGCAGATTTTAAGCAGTTTAAATAAGCTGAATAAGGAAATTTGCATACCGTCTGCTAAACACCCCCCCCACCCCCGCTAACGGATCAGAACCGAATTTTTCTACGCACGACCCCCCCAGTTTTGAAACCCCATCTTCACCCCCAATTTCCACCGGTCTAGCGATAACTCGCGCTTCGCACTAAAATTTCGACAGTGGTCGTCACACGCTGCTTGTTAACGGCAGCAGCCTGATGGAGGGAGAGAAGAAGGCTTATCATGGGATGCACACACACCCCGAAATGGGCACATCATAAAGCCCCGGGGACTTCAATAAACATGGCCTCAATGAGGTATCGTTAAAGGGAGAGAGAGAGAGAGAGAGCGAGAGAGAGGGGAGAGAGAGAGAGAGAGGGAGAGAGAAACGCTCAAGAAAGGCTGGGAAATCGGTCAGGACTACAGTATGCAACATTTGAGGGTGTGAATGCACCTGGAGGGCGGGAGATGGGGAAATTTCCTGAAGGATCTCTGCTCGCTGGCCCTTTTCGGAAGCGTTGCGGCTTCCTAAGCAATCTCTGCTAGCCTTCCCGAGCTTCGAAAAATTCTGAAGAATCTCTGCTAGCCTGCCTCGACCTGCATTTAAAAAATTGGCTGGTTTCCCCCAATAATCTCTGCTACCTTGCCCTGGCAAAATCAATGCGGTTTCCTTAAGAGTCTCTGCTCGTTTGCCCCTGCCCCTTCCAGTTTCCCCAAAAACCACTGCCAGTCTGCTCCCGAAAAATCAATTTTACAGGGAACCCCCCGAATTCACGCATGTTTTTTTCTGGGAACCTCTGAATGGGCTGGTGTTCACTGTTCGTTCAGCCAAAATAGGCGGGGGAAAAGCATTGAAAAGCATCGGGAGGAGAAGGCCCGAAAAATGGGCGGAGCTTGGCCTTGGCTGGGTCGGGGGAGGTCCCGGAACGAAGAGAAGAAGAGCCGTATTTTCAACTCTCCACCCGCAACACTACGGCTTCAAAATACTCCCATCAACATCGTCTACCGTATCCTCTCGTAGTACCGTATTCCGCTACAGTATCCCCTCATTGGATGGCCGTGCCGATGGCAAGACCGTTAGCGCTGACAGTATGCGCGTCGGATATGGCGTCCTCAGTGCCGGAGGGGAGTAGAGGGATTGTCAGGAGGGATCAGACCTTCGATCTCACGCCTACGTTCTATGAGCTAATATCGCAACGACATCTGCAGAAGCGGAGATGCTTTGCGGAAAAGAGGAGCTTCTCTTGTAATACTGATGTGGGTTTTCGGCGGCTTTTAAAGGGGGAGTGACGGCTGGTTTTCATGGTTTTTTTTGTTCATTTTTCTGGATTTTTTATGTAAATTATTGCTTTAAAGGCGACGTGACATTTTCTGGGCGCATTAATGGTCTCATACACTGGTTTTTCATGCTTTTCCTAGATCTCTCTCTCTCTCTCTGTCTGTCGCCCTCTGTCTCTGTCTTTCTCTCTCTCTCTCTCTCTCTCTCTCTCTCTCTCTCTCTCTCCTTCTCTTTCTCTAAGTGTCCATCTCACTCGTGCTTTCTCTATGATAGCTTTCTCAAAGGACCTGTGCTAGCAGGACCTTAAAGGAGCGTGACTTTGTGAATCTCCCTCTCTTTCTCCCTCCCTCGCTCTCGCTCTCTCCGCCTCTCTCTCTCTCTCTCTCTCTCTCTCTTTCTCACTCCCGTGGGTAATTTTACCTCGCCTTTCAACCCTCAAAAATCCATTACATGACTCGCAACATTTTTGGGTCCTTTGACGTCAGAGCCGCAATTCCAGAATTTTTCATGCTTCATTCCGATTTTTCTATTTAAATCTGAGCGCCATTTTTATCTTAAAAATCGTGACAACGTCGATGGGACATTTCCGGGATCTCAAAAGCAGTTTTGATTTTTCGGATCCAGCGACAAATTTTTCAAGGCGTTTTTACCAACTTTCGATTCTTGTGCCAACTGCCGCATGCTGATAATGTTTTGGCACGATTTTCGGGTTAATGTTGTCAAGCGCGATGACTAGATGAAGGGCCTGAAAATAGTCATGAGAAGGTTGGAGGGGCCCGCCTTTATCAGTAGCCGTCGCGAGCAATATAATCGGCTTTCGGGGCGTTGTGTGAGGGTCTCACCAAAAAGCACGGGTTGCGCTTCACGGGGTTCGGCTTCTTCAGGTTCGATTTTCGATACAGTCACATGGGAATCAAGAGAGAGAGAGGCAGCGCGAGAGAGAGACGGATAGAGCGAGGGTGAGAGAGCCAGAGAGTGCGAGAGAGAGACGTCGAGAGTTTGAAAGTTTGAAAACGGACGGCGATAGTGCAAGGGAAGCGAGAGAGCAACAGAGAGAGAGAGAGAGAGAAAGAGAGAGAGAAAGAGAGAGAGAGAGAGAGTGAGAGCGACAGGAAGGGAGAAACACGTCAAGAGTTTGAAAGTTTGAAAACGGACGGAGATAGTGCAAGGGAACAGAGAGAGAGAGAGAAAGAGAGAGCAAGAGAGAGCTAGGGAGAGAGAGAGAGAGCACGAGAGACAAACCATAGCCCAAAACCGTCACCCAGCGTGGTGCATCCAAAAATGACGAGTGCCAAATAGGGTTATGTCGCCTGTGATCGGCTTATTCATTTCAAGGCGGCAGCCGGGCTTATATACGCCATATTAGGCTTCCCCTCCCCCTGGCTTCATCATTTCTGTGGCCCGCTAAAAAACCGTCAAAACTGGACCCACGGATGTTAATTGACATTTGGCATAAGCTGGAGAAGGCCGGTTTTTTATTGATTTCCGAAATGGTCTTTGCTAGCCTTCCCTTTTCTATTGAAAACCTATTTGTTTTGACGCGAATTTTGATTTACGCAAAGAATCACTGCTAGCCTGCCCTCAGAAACGAAATAAAAACGATGGTGATACTTCCTAAAGAATCTCTGCAAGCCTGACACCTCGCGCTTGATTTTTAGCGCTTTTAAAGGGTCGTGAAATTCTAAGTAGGTTCCCCAAAAATCTTTGCTAGCCTGCCGGGGAATTAAATCCTTGCAAAAACGAAATTTACATATTTTTTCCAGGTCTCCGTGGAGACGATGGCCATCACAGCCCTGCCACGGGAATCAATCGATAATTGGCTGAAGGAACGGCTGAAGAAATGGGTCCAGTTGAGTGGACATGAAGGTGAGAGAGAGATAGAGAGAGAGAGCGAGTGAGAGGGAGAGAGAAAGAAAGAGAGAGCAAAAGAGCGTGAGAGGGAGCGAGAGAATCATGAAAAAAATTGTACAAAAAAGTCATTTGAAAACTTTTTTTTCAGGAAGCATCGTCCCCGCCTCATGCAATACCCTCTACAAGAAGCAGTGCTCAAACCGAGCCGAGGGCCTCGCCTACGCGGCTATATCGAAGGACCCGCGTCTCCAGGAAATCGGCTTCGCCCCCAGATTCCATCGACAAATCGAGAAGAATGAGGAGAGCTTCATTGAGATCGAGGACCTGCTGTCGCAATTCCGGGATCCGTCTCATACGGCGATTATGGATATTAAAGTTGGGACAAGGTGGGTTGGGCTATTAAGATTTTTGAGAGCATTTTTCTGTATTCTCGAGAGCTAGCAGAGATCCTTGGGGAATTTAAACAAAATTTCAACCTCAAATAATGTATTCCAAATTCTCAAAAGATTTCTGCAAACCCGTGTTCCTCAGGGTTCTTTGCTAGCCTGCCCTTCCTCAAAGAACCTCTGCTAGCCTGACTTCCCTAAAGGTATTTGCTAGCCTACCCTTCCTCAAAGAATCTGTGCTAGCCTGCCTGCCACAAAGAGTCTCTGCTAGCTTGCCCTTCCTCAAGGAATCTCAGCTACTCTGCCCTTCCTCAAAGAATCTCTGCTAGCCTGCCCTTCCTCAAAGAATCTCTGCTAGCCTGCCCTTCCTCAAAGAACTCTGCTAGCCTACTTTCCACAAAGAATCTCTGCCACGTTGCCAGGCAAAATCTGCGATTTCTTAGCTTCCCAGCCCCTTGAAAATGCAAAAATTACCAAATCCCTCCTTTCCAGGACATTCCTCGAATCCGAAGTATCAAACACCAAGCTCCGCCCGGACCTCTACGACAAGATGGTCGCCATCGACCCCGACGAGCCCACCGAGGAGGAGCATAAAAGGAGAAGGTACGCACATTAATGATAGTCCCAAATTAGGGCAGGGTAGCAGAGACTTTTCAGGAATTTAGACGCAATTTATCACTTTATTTTAGCATCACGAAGCTGCGCTACATGCAGTTCCGCGAGCGGGAGAGCAGCTCCGCCCAGCTCGGCTTCCGGATTGAGGCCGCCAAGGTGAGCAGCCATTCAAAAGAGGAAAATTGATGTCATTTTCAAAAAGCAAAATTTTGCCTCCGACGGGAGTCGAACCCGGGTGGTTTTCTTGGAACTCTGGAGCACTACCACTTAGCCATGATGTCATATGGCCAAATTCACTCGTTTGACCACCCAATTTTCCCGTATTTACCCAAACGTCTTGAACTTGTTGAACGTGCGCCGTCCCGAACATCTCCGCTTTTCGCCACGTTGCGTCAATGCCTCGAGTGGGGTGTCGTGTTGGGGGCAGACAAAAGAACATACATCACTTCGCCTTGCTTTCCGGGGGGCTCACTTGCTCGCCATCTATTTGCCCACCAGCTTTTCGTCCACGGGTTTTTTTAATCCTATTCCCCCTCCCCGGGCCACACAATATTCCAAGGGCGCAAAATTGGAGCGAAAACGCGAAAAGTCTTAAGAAAAATTAAAAAATTGACTCGTGCACATGGCTAACTGGTAGTGGTTGCGCTTTCCAGGCAAACAATCGGGGTTCGATCCTGGGTTGGTGGAGGTAGGTTAGCAGAAATCATTGAGGAAGTCCGGGCAGACTAGCAGGGATCATTGAGGAAGCGAGGGCTGGCTAGCAGGGATCATTGAGGAATCAAGGGCAGGCTAGCAGAGATCATCGAGGAAGAGACGGCCGGCTAGCCGAGATCATTGAGGAAGCGAGGGCAGACATGCAGAGACGATTGGGGAAGTGGGGGCAGGCTAGCAGGGATCGTTGAGGAAACCAGCGTATTATATATCTCTCGAACATTCATATTTACATCACAACTTCCAGATGCCTGGCGGTTCCCTCCAAAAGAACTTCAAGAAGGTTCGCAGCTGGGAGGACGTCTCGGCGACGATGCGCGAATTCTTTGGCGCAGATGTGAAGCGAGTTCGTCAAGCCATCCTAAACAGACTCATCAAAATGCGAGACGCCGTCGAGCACAGCGAGTTCTTTGCTGCACATGAGGTATAGTATTGTGGCGTACTTTTTGAAATTGATGACTTTCAGGTGGTGGGCAGCTCTCTCCTGTTGATGTACGACAGAGACCAAGTGGGGGTGTGGGCGATTGACTTCGCCAAGTCGACGCGGATAGAGGCTGGAAGGAGGTTGAGCCATCGAGACACGTGGACACCCGGGAATAATGAGGATGGATATCTGATGGGGATTGATAATCTGATACAGGTTGGTTTTGGCAAGGGGGCAGGGATTCTTGGAGAATTCAGCGGGATCCGGTAGGGTAGGCTAGCAGACATCATTTAAGAAAGAATTCACTGACGCAATCGGGCACAGAAATTTTGGAGACTGAGGAAGACATAGAGAAGGCGCGAGAAAGAGAGCGAGAGATAGAGAGAGAGAGAGAGAGAGCACGAGCGACAGAGAGCGAGAGAGAAAGGGAGCGAGAGAACAAGCGAGAGAGAGGGGGAGAGAGAATGAGCGATTGAGAGAGAGCGAGGGAGAGAACGAGAGAAGAGGTAGCTAGCAGAGATTCTTTGGGATCGGGGTTAAACTCATTTAAAGGAACCCTCAAGTCAAATCTATATTTCCGAATTCCAGATTGTCGAAGACCTAAATGCCGAGGATTGAGGCTGCAGCACAGCCATTTCTCGTGTCGAAAACGGGTCGAAAATCGAGGAGATCGCCACCGTATCCAAAGCCATAATACCGTATCGCTGGGCCCAGAGAAAAAGCGGAAATGGGAGCATGAAATCCAGATTTCCTCATCATTTCCACAATGAAAGTACAAACTACAAACTACATCCCCCGGCTCTTGTACAGTTTTTCCTTGTCTAAACTATACAATTTACATATTTCCTTGTATCTTTCTGTTGCGCATTGCTAGTAGCGTTGTGAATTTCACCTCTCCTTGACCAATTAAATTGATTAAGATTTATTTTAATCAATTTTTCGATTCCCCTCGTACAATTTATTCACTTTCCCCTGCGCGCCTTTCATTTGCATAATACTCAAGGAATCAGGATTCCCTCCCCCAAAACACACACACCAACTTATGCTAATTTCTATGTTTTTTTGGCGTCAATTATTTTTGAAAATTTGAATAAAGAGTTTATTGAACTATTATAGGAGAGATTATATACAAAAAACATACAAGAAAATACAGATAAAAGGCTTAAAAACACTCATTTTCGGTATGAATCCCGATGATTTCAAATAAGTTTTCTCTTTTTCTATTTCCTAAACGATCTCTGCTAGCCTGCCCAAATTTTTCACAATTTTCTCAATTAAAAATTTTATCTGTCCCTTCAAACGCTCTTTAAAAACCAACCTATGCGTCATTTTCAACCGCCAGTTTTTTGTCGCCAAAAATCGCGGGTTGATGAGAAATACTTTCGGCAAATCTCAGGGCGCTACAAAGGGCGCGGCGAGACCTTGAGGAACTCCATGCTGGGTTCATATTCTCGGAAAAAATTTGATTCTAATCTTTCCGTTTCCAGAATGGACTTTTGGACCGTCGTTAACACCGGGCAGCCACTGGTTTTGAGTGCGTAATCGGTTAGATCGGGTTCAATTAGCGGTTTTTCAGCGTACGCCGTCCTCATTTCAAATGTGGCCGTGCTGGGGTACTGTATTGCGCGCCGGTTGGTGGGCAAGGAAATGGTGGTCACGCTATTTCTATGCTTCGTCGACTCTATCTACGGGATTTGTGCGTCGATATCGATCACACGAAGGTTGTATTACACGATATTTCTGGATGGTGAGTGGAGAGAGCGCGCCAAAAATCTCTGCTAGCCTGTTCTCGTTTTCTCAATGATCTCTACTAGCCTGTCCTCGATTCCTCGATGATCTCTGCTAGCCTGCCCTCGATTCCTCAATGATCTCTGCTAGCCTGCCCTCGATTCCTCAATGATCTCTGCTAGCCTGCCCTCGCTTCCTCAATGATCTTTGCTAGCATGCCCTCGCTTCCTCAATGATCTCTGCTTGTCTGCCCTCGCTTCCTCAATGGACTCTGCTAGCCTGCCCTCGCTTCCTCAATGATCTCGGCTAGTCTGCCCTCCCTTCCTCAATTATCTTTGCTAGTCTGCCGTCACCTCCCAATGATCTCTGCTAGCCCGCCCACGCTTCCCCAATGACCTCTGCTAAGCTGAACCTTTTTCTAGGCACCCAAATGGTGACAAATCGAGATTGCATGCGACTTGGCTATCCTTTCTTCCTGCTGCTCAGCTTCAGCTACATGGGTGCAGCGGATCTCTTATTTTCCCTGGACAAGCTCATGATGATCCAATTTCCAATCCACTACCGGCAGATGAAAACCAGAAATTTTTATATGGTTTTTGCCGGTGGGTTTTTGAGCCTGAGCCTAATCCAAAGCCTAGACTTAAGCCTAAGCCTGTCCCTAAGCTTAAACTAAGCCTAAGCCGAAGCCGACACCGAAACTGAAGCCTAGACCTAATCCGAAGCAAAGCCCAAGTTTACGCCAGAGTCCAAGCCTAAGCCTAAGTCCGAGCCAAGCCTAAGCTTAGCCTAAGATAAGCCTTAGCCGAAGCCTAAGCCTAGACCTAAGCTAAGCCCAAGCCTAAACCTAGCTTATGCCTAAGCCCAAGCAAACTTAAGCCAAGCCTAAGCCTAATCCATGCTACCCTTTTCAGTAACCACCGTAATCTGCATGGCCTGGACTGCCTGGCTATTCATTCAATGGCTTCTGATACCCGAGTGGCAAACTAGCATCCTGTGCCAGGGCGACTACATGCCGGCACGGATCCAGAATCCCGCAATTTTTGCTCAATTTATCACCACCACCCTGTCGGTCATCGCCTACGTGCCTGTACTTGTTTACGTTGTCCGCATGAGAGTCGGGAGACTCACCCGGAATTCCGCCTACGAGAAGAGAGCAGCGAATTTGGCGATTAAGGGATGTAAGTGGGGAACTGGCAGAGATTTTTGAGGAAGCGAGGGCAGGCTAGCAGAGATTCTTTGAGGAAGGGCAAGCTAGCAGAGATTCTTTGAGGAAGGGCAAGATAGCAGAGATTCTTTGAGGAAGGGCAGGAAGAGATTCTTTGAGGAAGGGTAGGCTAGCAGAGATTCTTTGAGGAAGGGCAGGATAGCAGAGATTCTTTGAGGAAGGGTAGGCTAGCAGAGATTCTTTGAGGAAGGGTAGGCTAGCAGAGATTCTTTGAGGAAGGGCAGGATAGCAGAGATTCTTTGAGGAAGGGCAGGATAGCAGAGATTCTTTGAGGAAGGGCAGGATAGCAGAGATTCTTTGAGGAAGGGTAGGCTAGCAGAGATTCTTTGAGGAAGGGTAGGCTAGCAGAGATTCTTTGAGGAAGGGCAGGATAGCAGAGATTCTTTGAGGAAGGGCAGGCTAGCAGAGATTCTTTGAGGAAGGGCAGGATAGCAGAGATTCTTTGAGGAAGGGTAGGCTAGCAGAGATTCTTTGAGGAAGGGCAGGCTAGCAGAGATTCTTTGAGGAAGGGCAGGCTAGCAGAGATTCTTTGAGGAAGGGCAAGCCAGCAGAGATTCTTTGAGGAAGGGCAGGCTAGCAGAGATTCTTTGAGGAAGGCAGGCTAGCAGAGATTCTTTGAGGAAGGGCAAGCCAGCAGAGATTCTTTGAGGAAGGGTAGGCTAGCAGAGATTCTTGGGGAAATTACGGATCCCACTCGTTCCAGCAAGCCTCATGGCAGCCATCATCTGATCTCCTACGTCGTGCCAGACATCCTTCGACTCGTCAGCTTTTCTTTGTATACCTCAATGTCGACCTTGTTCTTCAACCTGAATTCGCTGAAGCCGTTGGTCAACGTCTGCTTCGCGTGTCTCATTATACGAACGCTTAATGCGGACAAGTCGGCCGGAAAGACGATGTCTGTTGCTACACATGAAACGCGATAAATTTTATTCAAGCTGAAAGGGGTTGTGAAGGATGGAAGTTACTAGAAGTAGCATTCTCTCTCTCTCTCTCTCTCTCTCTCTCTCTCTCTCTCTCTCTCTCTCTCTCTCTCTGTCTCTATTCCACTCTCTCGCTCTCTGCGAGGCAAGCTAGCAGAGAAACTTGAGGATTTCCCGATGCTCACGCGCTCAGTCCATACCCAAGTACGAATGACACCTCCGTACGCCTCGAATTTCATTCTAGGCTCGGCATTGAACATCAGAATTGCCAAGCTTTCGTGAAATTCCCATAAAGTACAATATTGAACCAACCGAAAATCGTCTACCGAAACTGAGGGTTCCCGCGCCTGTGGATTTTCAAAAAAAAAAGTGTCGAATGGGAATTTGTCCTCAATGTTTTGTTCAGTTTCGCGTCACGCTCCCTTCAATAATATTATCTATTATTCAAATTTTTTTGGATTATATATGCCATTTATATTAATTCTTACTTAAAGATTTTCAGATACCAATCTGAATAAAAAAAAATAACAAGATTCTGTAATTTTTGGCCTATGTCCACCCCGTGGGATATTGTCAACATTGCCGTTCAAAATGTTGTTAGTAAGTTGGTTAAGCCGAAGCCTAAGCCAAGCCTAAGCCCGCCTAAGCTAGGCCTAAGCTTATTCCTACTTTCCAAGATACGATCGTCCTCGCCTCGAACCTCGGAATCCTGTGCTACGCTGCTTGGCGTGGGCTATTCGGGCGCAAGGAGCTGGCGGTTACGCTATTTCTATGCTTCGCCGATTCTACGTACGCATTGGCGAATGCGTACTCGATGGCGCGTCGGGTTTACGTGTTATTATTTATGGATAGTAAGTTGTATAGAGAGCGAGAGAGAGCTAGAGATAGAGAGAGAGAGGGAGAGCGAGCGAGAGAGAATGAGAGAGTGAGGGCGAGTGAGAGAGTACGAGAGCGAGAGCAATACCAGCGTTTTCAGCATCAATCGTCGTCAACAACCTGTACTGCATGAAGCAGTTCTACTCTTTCTTGATCCTCTACAGCTTCCCTTATACCGGTTTTGCCGATTTTATCTTCTCTGTTGATAAGCTGTTAATGGTACAGTATCCGTTTTTCTATCGTGAGCTCCCGGTTCGGAGGTTTTACTACGTATTTTTAGGTGAGTTTCTATCTATCTCTCTATCTATTTCTCTCTCCCTCCCTCTCTCTCTCTCTCTCTCTCTCTCTCTCTCTCTCTCTCTCTTTCTCCCTATCTCTCTCTCGCATTACCACTTTCAGTCATAACCCTCCTCCTAACCGGCACGACAATGTGGATAGCAGCCGAGTGGATCAAAATGGACCCCTATAACACAACGGTTCTGTGTCCTGCTGACTACATGCCGACTCGATTCCAAATCCCCTCAATTTGGGCGCAACTATCTCTGACAACACTATCGGTCGTGGCCTACGTTCCAGTACTTGTTTACATCATACGGGCACGGTACGGACCTGTCCCGCTACGTTCTGCTCATGATCGCCGAGGGATACGGCTCGCGATGAGAGGGGGTGAGTTGTAAAAGAGCGCTGGTTTCCTCAATGATCTCTGCTAGCCTGCTCAGATCTACCCCTCACTTCCAGGTACCATCGTCCTATCCGTGCTCATCTCCTATGCCATCCCCGACTGTTTCCGGGTCCTTTGGCTGCCCTTCTTCCTCCGATACCAAAATATTTTCTTCAACCTGATGACCGCGAAGCCTCTCCTTAAT